TAGTGGCTGTGATCGATAAGCAAATTTCGTATCTGAAACAATCGCTTGGATTGCTGCTTTCTGCATCGAGCGCATACAGGGTTGCCAAATTTAAAACAATAGATTTTGACATATCATTGTCAATATAGTTCGGCGAACCGATGGGCATTGGGGTTCCAAGTGCTTCAATTCTTCCAGGTAGACTGACGACATCAAGCGAGTCGGGGGGACCCTTACTGGACTGGGTGCGGAAAGAGCAGGATCGTTATATATGGAAATCTCGCGAGGATTGCCCAATGATCCTATGCCCAACAGTGGACGTCAATTGGATGATAATGATGATGATATTAGCGTATTTTATAAAACCAACTCGAGCGAGTTTAACGTACAGACACGTGTTTTGGTTTACGACCTTATAGTTTAATATCGGGTGGCAAAAAGACTGAGATGAGAGATCTTAAAAGAATTATGACTATAATGCGATAATAATCCCGAATACTTTACTATGACAACGTAATTATGAACTACATGTCAGTCGCGACAACTGCTCAGTTTAACCACGTGCGGCTTAACGTGCCCTCGAAAGCAAGAAAGAGCTCGAGAAAATCAATTTTCGGTCACCCATTCGCTGACCGGCCATTATGAAAGTTGCTTAACTTCCATGATCACAGATCGGAAGCTCTAACCACTTGTGCCATCGAGCTCATCTATCTTACTTTCTCCATCTATTCACATTTCGGGTTTTATTTTATTTATTTATTTATTGTGATAAAATCGACAAAAAGCAATTACATTTATCATACATTTTCATTTTTCAGTTTCACACATTTTAAATGACTGTCATAATATATCATAAAACGTCAATATTAATATAATATACTATAAATAGGGTAAACATTTCAAATAAATATTATATGTTTTAACAAAAAATAATGTCAAGCACTATCCTCATTGTCAGTGCAACCAGTATTGCTCCATTGATTGATTTGATGGTAGACCAATTGTCAAAAGAAAAGTCAAATTCAGTGTTGGCGTCCCGGAATGCATTGAGGTTACGCAATGACTAACCAAAGGTGACATCGTACGCGCCACGGTGCGACCCCTGTTTTCGTGAAAGAGATTATGCTGCCGAGGAGGACCACGCCTGCGTTCCGGTGGAAGCCCAGGTTTGTCCGAGACAAACAGAATACACAAAAGATTGTGCAAGTGGAGGCAATCAACAGAACCTTTAAGCGTTTTCACACAGATGGTTAGTTGGTCGACGAGTCTTCTCACCTCGAGGGAATTGAAGCCGAGATGTCCGAGTAAAAATTTTGTTGGGTAACGAAATGGATAATAGCCATAGGATTTTTTGTAGAGAAACCTGAAAAAGGCCTTCTGTACCTTCTCAAGCATTCGCACATATGTGACCTGATGAGGGTTCCAGACACACGCACTCGATTCAAGCTTGCTCCTAACTAACGACGCTTAAAGAATTTCCACAACTTTTGGATTCTGAAAATCCCTAGCATGTCGCAAAACGAAACCCAGACGACGGTAACACTCTTTTGTTAAACAAAATATATGATCGTGAAAATCCAAGTTACGATCGAACGTCACCCCTAAATCTTTAATACAGTTAATTGCCCTATTAATGGGCAAGTTGTTCATTTTATAATTAAAATGTATTGGTCTTCTTTTACGATCAAAGGTCATTACATTACATTTACTATGATTAAATTGCATTTTATTTATTAAGCTCCATTCTTGAATTTTGTCAATGTCATCTTGTAATCTAAGGCAGTCATTCAACGATTTAATGTTAAAAAACAGCTTCAAGTCGTCAGTATACAGAAACACTTAGCCGCAGCCAATACCTTGGGTAGATCATGAATCATAATAAGAAAGAAAAGCGGTCCGATCACAGAGCCCTGTTTTGTTTATGTTGATTAAAATTTCTACCAAGTAAATATTTCCAAAATTTAGGTAGCGTGGTAACCCTATGTTCTTGTGCATGCATACCCATTGTGGCTTTGATGAGAGCTCTGTCATGTGTTTCAATCTCACAAGACGTCGTCGTGGAGTCCATAACTACCATCGGATATTGTTCTACGAGATACCTTTGTATACTCACAGCAACACAGAGTTGCCGTGAGGTGCTGAATTGTCTGAATTGATTTAGAATCATATATCAAGCACGATTCAACTAAAATTCAGTTGAAGTGACATAATATTTTGCCTGATTGAGGGACGTTAATTGTCTAGGAATTATCCTAGTACTTCACTATTAACTGCACTTCACTATAATTATGCATTGTGATACACATAAATCTGTGTGCATCATCATCACTAACAAGTTACTCCGTGATCATGGCGCTTGCACAAGTCGTAGCAATCTTGTAAATTATAGAAATCACTGTAATGTTAGTGAAAAAGAAAGTTTAAAACAATATGTTACTATCAAAAGTGGGTATCTAAATTATGTACTTTAGGTGGGCCTGTAGTTTTTGAAGAGTCCCTACATTGCAGAATCCATCATCAGATCCTGACATGATGACCACGAGACTAACTGATAAGCTAATATCTTTTAAAAAAATCCAAATTGATCAGACGTATCATATAGATCAGAAACATACATTAAAGAAAAGATTCCGACTTATCGAAAACCTCCACCGTTTTTTGAACCGATTAAAAAATAGTATTTTTACTTTACACAATATTGTACTTACTTGCATTTTTCTACTATTCCCTAACTTACCTTTCCGTTAAGTAAATGCTTTTTAGAGGTTGAATTGCTATCATGATGATTATTACTACTTTACTCGGTGTGAAGTTGCGTTAATTTGTTGTTGAATAGGTACGCCATTAGCAAATTATACGTTACGTTTGTTTACAACCAGCGTCGACTGTTCACAATTGCTTTTATGCGGAGAGCAATTTGTGACAAAAACACTTCGTCAATTAGCAATGTTTGTAAAAAGAGAAGATTCAGAGATGGAACGTTGTTTAGAAAAAATGCACTATTCTATTAATCGATTTTAGAAAGGACAAGAGTTTTTATGATTTTTTAAATATGTGTGCATCTGAGTGGGGCTCGGGATGGCTTAGATTCTCAACTGGACCCGGTAGGTGGCACTGCACTCTGGAATTCTTTGCTGTTTTATCCGATAGGACCTATTATAAACAGGTACATAATCTATTTTAAACAGGTACTTCGTATAAGGCGGCGGGAAGTAACATTTCCCAATTTTTTTATTACTTTGCTTTTAATTCTTATTCACAATTATGTTACTAATGTATATTTTATTATTTTTTGAGCCAAATTACCGAGAAAAATGTGAACCTAGAAATTTTATAAATAAAATCGATTATTTTCTATAGTAATAAGTAGATGAGATGGAAAAGAAATCATACGAGGTGGTTTTCCTATGGTTCTTCAAACCTATTTCAAATAAAGTGTTCTATGTTGCTAATAAAGCAATAGCAAGGAAAATTACACAGTTCGTTGAAGTCCGCGTTGTTTAATTGATAGTAAAATTACGTAATAAGTACATGTGAAATGGCATTTTTTTCTATAGGATTTAATTATAGTCAATTTAACTATAGATTAAACAACACGGCTTAAGAGAATAAATTACCTTTATGGATAGTCATAATGTCATAATACAGAACGACAAGTTAGATAATGGTAGTGTTTGAGCAATAATCAGGCCAGTCATAATTTAAGCCGCTCAGTATTAACGTGTTCGATTTGAAAGGGTATACAAGCTCGATGTCAAGCATAGAGGGATAACAATTAACTACCTACTGTCACGTAAAACTGTTAAAGTACGAGTACGAGAACCCTTAGTACGAGTTTCAGCTCACGAAAACTATCATAGTTTTCATAACTGTGAATTATGTTTCTATGTCCATTTTGGTGAAAATTAACCAAATATACTTAAATTTTACTAAGATGCAAATGATTTAATGATAGAACTTAAACACTGTTTATTTGTATTGAAACGAAAACAATAAAATCAGTACCCTTAGTACGAGTGCGAGCTCACGAAAACTGTCATAGTTTTCGTGATTGTAAAACTCGTACTAAGGGTACAGTTGTGACCGTTTTCATCTATAAACCGCGGTAGTCATAAACTTCTATAAAAACAAAAGAAGCCGCGGGACTATAAATCTACGGAAGTTTAACGTAAGCCGCGCTGTGATTGAATGTTTATCAAGCATTTTCTGCAACGCGAATGTTGCACAATGTTATTTTGTTCATTCAGTTTCAGTGAGCTTTACTCGAGACGAAGAAATATAAATATCTATAACTTTATCATATGTGTTAAGTTAATCTTATCTCTTGAATCTTTAACGCATACGCGAACCTTTAGAAATTACATACATAACAATTAGAATTCACGCTATCGTGAACACCTTTGAAACTTTCCCAATATAGGTAGAAATTACTTTGCTCTTGCATAGCGAAATGAGAAATCTTTTAAAATCTGATAAAGTTTAGGATATATACAAAATGTTATAAGAATTCTCCAAATTTATCATCCCTTTGAATGTTTAATAAGTACTCTCTTCAACTTGCTTCATCTATTATTCAACGGTAAAGTTGCGGAATTACTAGGCGGCAAAGTGGTTATAGTAAACATCGAGTGAGACACCGGACTGCCTTCTGATCTTTTTTGACAAAGTAAGAACCTTTCTCGAAACAATTTTATTTATTGGCAAAGAGTATAATTTTATCATAGCTTCGTAAGTTAATTAAAAAATCTTTCAAGTGCGACTTTCAGTTTCATACCCTCAGACGAGGCTAAACACTTAAGATATGCTAGGTAATTGTTTAGGTCGAGCGAAAGTTACGGAAATATTATTATTTTTTATGGAGACCTCTATAATTTTTATTTCATCATATTTTATTTTATTATTTTGTTGTTGACAAAACAACAGACAAAAAAACTGACAGACGGGCTTCGGGGACGGATGACATTGTGCAATTTTGGACCCAGAACCCTAAAAAAAAGGTTTTACTACTATAAAATACTCACTTTGTTAACATGATCTCTAAGTATATTAGAGTAAACCATGGCCATGGCCTCTAACGCCATGAAGGTCATGCATCCAACCACCCACGGCACAAGAAACGCTATATTTTCCTAGAACAAGAGAAACACAATTATATTTACATCAAAGTATAAAAAAAGTTCATCTTTTAATCTATAATTAACGAAACACAAAGCACAATAAATACACCAGCTACCTATAATTCACTTATTCAATAAAGGAAATATTCTCAAAAGATATGTGAAGGATACATTCAATGATAAAATATTTATGGGGAATTCCCTCGTATTCCTATCACTATAGGGATCGAGTTGGGGTGCATTCCATCGGCTCTGAGGTCTGACGAAAGTAACATTCCCTTTTACGGTCCCAATAGGTACTTCGGCGCAGGAATGCCAGAGCGGATGAGTGAAATGGGTTAAGGTCGCATCTTATCGAGGTTGGCAGAATTGTGGTTCTTGAGGTGATATTTCGATAAGTGAGGTTAGCAAAAGCATTGTTATCAATATTATGACTTTAGTGGTTAAATTACAGCACAGCAAATACAGTATAACTAGTTTGTTTTATAAGAGTTGAATATACCAATTTAAATAAAATAATACTATTCGAAAAAGTATTCATGCATATTTTATTAAGGAACTATAGTGCTTATTTCGTACTCAAAAAATACTCACTTTATAAATTCCGTAAAATAGGAATATACTTAGCACAATCATGAACATCTGTGTTCCTATGATTGCAAAATACGCTATCTGTACACCTGAAACAAAAGAAAGATTTATCAGAATTAATTAAGAATCCAAGAAGAAGCGTACATGAGTGCTGATTACTTTATTTCACAGTCATTATTTATCAAGCCTTGCTCAGGGCTCGTTTCCATTGAGGTGGGTGGTTATCGCATTGCAACAGACACCACTCAGGTGTGTGGTGCTGATTGCGGATTTATCTATAGACTCAGCACGCACGAAAATGCGATGCCAACTGCCAACGCGCTGCACCGTGCGATTTTTAATAGAATGATAAATGCTTACAATATTCAAGGGAGGTAGAGAAAAGCGCATTTCACGATCTAATTGGAGCGCCCGTCTGGGGAAGTAACATTCTCCTTAGAGAAGATCACTGTTAAATAATATTTCCTTTTGCTCGAGTTGTGTTTCTGTCGGTGAGTAAGGTTCCTAGGCTCCACGGGGTAGGGCAAGAGGGTAGGCAACGTTGCGAGTGATATTTTTGGTATCGCAAGCGTCTATAGGCTATGGTGACCGCTTACTATCAGGCGGGCCATACGCTTGTTAGCCATTTTAACGTTTAAATACCGGAACGGATTGCAGCGAGTGTGATAATAGCCGTAGGTCTGGTCTAGACCTCTAACTTATGCCGCTCGTAGCCGTGACTTTTACTGCTTAATTTCATAAGTGTGCCTTCAGTTAAACCTGGTTTAAAAGTTTAATGCTAAAGAGAAGACAGACAGAGCATTAGCTTTAAACCAAGCCTAACTTCAGTCTACGTTTCGGAATAGGGCAACGTATTATATTCATCTAAGCTTCGCCTTTTTTTACACAACTTCCACAGAAATGGAATGGAGATTTTGTTGAGCTTTATTAATAGCTCAAATTCGCTCCGCTTAAAGTCTATTTTTTAATCTCGGAGACAAAAATGACATATGCAAATGTCAAGTTTGCAAATAAGGATTTTATTATGTAGTGTGTACCCGCGATATTGGTTTTTTAAGTTTTTAATTTTATTAGACGGTATTTTTGTTATATTATTGATATGTTACAAAATTTTAAAAATTATAGCACACTTTATCAATGTATTGTATTTTATGTGTTGCAAATTAATATACGCCGTTTTTATTTTAAATAAAAACGGTCAACTGGGTCATATAATCGACATTACCGCACTTTTACTATAGCAATAGGTGCCGAGTCTGATGGTGACGTTTCAGAAAATTCATATCTGATTAGAATAATGTGCTTATCTTATTATGAACTTCAAAGTTCCCTGTGTGTAAATAATGTTGTATTCATGATGTACTAATAACGAAACTGAAAATCTCTAACATCCAAAGTTCTCGTGTCGTATCGGTCGGTGTGCGTAATTGAACTGCTCCGCTCTACCGATTTTCATGAAATTTTATATGCATATTCAGAAAGCTGAGAATCGGATAACATCTATTTTTCATCCCCCTAAATGTTAAGGATACCATTAATTTTTTTTTTGACAAAATTATTTGCTTTTATTTTTTTATGATACATCATACAACCTTAAATTTTCACACTTCTACCACCAACCCCTATTTTTTATGGCGGTACGAAGTTCGCTGGGACAGCTAGTATATAAGTTAATTTTATATCTGTACCTGTAGGCCTCTCATTGTCGGTGGTCGGTATGATTATTGTATGTATGTACTTATGATTTCTGGTCCGATTTTCGTAAATACGTTTTTCTCCAATGCAGAATAGTTGCCATTTGGTTCCGTGAAAATTTAATTCAGTTTCGCCCAGTAGATCTTATTTTACATTAAAATGGATAAAATAAAAAGTATTTTTAACAAAATTTTAAAACTGACTTCATAATTGAAAATGGAAATCGGGCGGGTTCTAGTGCGATTTCCAAGTCGGGCGGGATCAAGAATAAAACACGTACTTATACCGATTAAAATTAAAATCTATTCCATGTTTCAATATCATTTTGTACTTTTAAATGGAAATTTTGGATTTTTAAGTCCTTTTTTATTTTTTGATTTTATATCAAAGAAACGATATACAGGCAGAGATGCCGCTAGATGGCAAGCGGTCACTGTGGCTTTTGACTTTCTCTTAACTGGGAATCCGGTTCCGATTTTACTTACTAAAATTTTTTTAGATAAAAAACCTAATGTCTTTTTTGTCTCTGGGATTAAAAAGCAGACTATAGTGTGCCCTAACTCCGTGCTTGTAGGTGGAAATAAATTCGCAAAGGTCAGTTTATCTTTTTATTTCCTTCGGCATAACCTGGGGCTTTGAAGCTTTTAACATTTGAACACAATAATTTTCTTAGTCTTCCAGAAGAGATCGCACTCTTGTCGTAGTTAAGGCTGCACATTATACAATGCGGGTTGTCTATTTTGTTTATATTTAGATAAGTTTGACCCAAACATACTAATAATTGTAGGTTTTAATACATTTTATGCTGTAAAAACCCAAAAATACGGAGGCTTTACAACAAGAGTTTCTTTTCGTTATAAAGCCTCCGTGAGATAAGTTCTTAATAGGAACATGTTTTTATATACACTGTATAATATCCAGCCAGCGTCACCACTCGTGGCCTGACAGGATCAGTCATCTAATATTTATTTATCGTCTCACGAGAGGAATACTTTTGGATAGAGTGACAGATTGTTATTACCGCTATCCGTATACGTGAGCAATTCTCAATTTCCCGAAAAGTATATCTTATAATACCAATCAAAAACAAAGATAAGGCAAATTTATTAAAAAAAACTGTGGTCCATATTGAATGATTTTTTCCTTATCAAAGAAAATGTAATTATCTTTCAAAACCATTATATTCGAATGGAAAAGTTGTAAAAGGAATATTTTGGAAAAACAAAGTTAAGTTTGCATACTTTTTGGTCATAGGTATTAAGTTGATTTTAAGAATGATGAAGACCAACTTAATGTCAAGTATCAACCATTACTAGGGTAACTACTGCTAATAAGATTATTTGAATTAAAAACACCAATGCTAGTAAATTAAATTTAAAGCAAAATCAACCTTATTTTATCTGCATTTGACTGTGAACAATTGATAAGGATGGAGTGATGGTTAAATAAGGATTGAGCTTAAGTTTAATTTCAGAAAAGGAAAAGTAATCTTCTTCTTCTTCATAATAATAACATACACAGCCAGAAAACTAAGTACTCGAAGTAGTATAGGCACAAAATCGATTCCCAAGAACAAACAAATCGAGTCGGAATCGATCACCTCGTTTACCCCTTGGGTGTTTTGCTTCCCCGCTGAGATTGCGTCAGATTTCGGTAAACTGTAAAATTGGATCTGACTTACGGGTACGCCCTCAGGAGACAAAGGCTTCGACTCAGGAAGTTCTTATTAAACATTGGAGGTGAAATAGAACCATTGTTTGCTTGTGGTTTCGAGCAATAATTCATTGAACTGATAAGTCTTGAACTTATTCCATAATCCCCGTAAAACTTATTTAATTAAGGCGACCCGCTTTGATTCCTTGTCAAATGATTTACACCAAAGCTCGGAATCTGTGGAAAATTTTAGAAATATAAAGCATTCCTCCTCCTTGGATATTTTTGTAGACGGCCTTTCGAATTCAGAAGATAAGGCAAACGATTAATACTAATTTAAAATTTAAAAGGTAGATTGTTTATACATACCAAAAATTACTTAACTTGCTTGGTTTATAGCTTAAGAAATAAAAAATGTAATGTTTAATAATTTTTGCATATTCCGTTCTTGGAATATTTTTTGAATAGTGTTTATGACGTTGATTCCATATATAAAAGAGTAGAGATTTCAACAAACAAAAAACACACCACCTTTTTTAAAAAAGCAGATATTTTGACGTGAGAATTTTCGATTGAACATAAGGGTGCTTTTTCAATATTAAGTCAAAATAAGGTGGAAAAATTAATATTTTAAATAAAAAAAAATGCTGTATATTTGGGACATACAAAGGTAAGTGTTCACTAAATTTCGTTAAAAAAAATATATTTTTTGCATAAAATAAAAATAAAATTCCAAAAACTCGGTTATTCGATTTTTCACATAAATTTTGAGGTTATGTGAAAAAAGTATCGATACAAAAGTTGTAGATCTTTTTATTACCTACAACTTTGTCATTTAACTTTTTTTCATAGGACTTTCAGTTTTCCCGGAAATCGAGATTAACCGGTTTTTACCCTTAAACACTCACCCCCTCCCCCTTCCCGACCTCAGATCGCCCGTATTTTATTTTTCCTTTAACTTTTGTTATATTCTGTACCTTTTCTAATGGGTTTCATCCTACTATAATTTTTTTTTTACTTTTCACCATTTTTAAAATTATCGACCCTGGTCTGTAAGCTCTTCTTTAAGTAAGTATGTAAGGCATAGTGACTCAAAATTCATACATTATTTTCAGAATAAAAACTTGCTTATCAAGTCTCATAAGCAAGCTATTTACATATGAAAACAACAGTAACAAAATTTAACAAAACGACGGGTTGCACTCCGGGAGTGCCGGCAGAAGTGAAAACTTGAATATTAACGTTGTACATTTTTGATATTTTGGAATGGTTAGGGAATAATTTTGCACGAATTGCTTTAATTATCAGTATAAAAGTACTATCATTTATGTGGTAAAATATAATATTTATTTATTGCGCTATCGTACACAAACATGACAATTTATATTACATTAAAAAATATCTCTCAGAAAAACTCAACTTACATGAATCACATTTAAGCGCACCTAGCGACATCTATTGTGAAAAATGCTTTTTCTTTGCAATAAAGCTGCCACCTGGACGTCCTAGTTAAAAACTTATTATAATACGATAAAATAAAATATTACTATGTTTCGTCCAATTTATTTAAAGTCAACAACCTTTCCAATTTTATTGTTTTCGTCTTACGAATTTTCGATCAGGCCACTTGTTCTGAAGCGAGTTTAACATTTTTTACCCATTACAAAAAAAGTGTACAACGCCGCTAAAGAAGTTTTCACTTC